CGAGCCGAAGGGGCGCTGAGGCACCCTCCGCGGGCTTGGTGAGGACCCGCGGAGACAGAGAGAGCCCGAAGGGGAGAGCTTTGTATTGCCAAGCTCGACCTTCAAACGCAAACCGCAGAAACTGTCGGTGGCGAGGAAGAGTGGAGACATGGAAATACGCGTCCATCAGGTCTAATGCTGCAGACCAACCCAGAGGACGAACGCACCGGAGGATGCGCTTCTGCGTGAGCATTCTGAACGGCAGCTTGTGCAGGCAGCGGTTCAAAACGCGCAGATCTAGGATTGGCCGTGACCCACCGCTCTTTTTGGGCACGATGAAGCGTGGGCTGTAAAACCCGCTCTCCATCTCGGCTGGAGGGAGCGGCTCGATTGCATCCTTCGCCAGGAGGACAGCAATCTCCTCTCGCAAGACAGGGGCGGACAGGGGGCTGACCCTGGTGAATACACACCCGTGACTTGGGGGGCCGTTTCGCGAACTGAATCGCATAGCCGAGTCTGATTGTGCGTATGAGCCACCGCGAAGAGCTGGCCCGCGCTAACCAGGCAGGCAGAGCTCTCGCTAATGGACTCATCGCTACAATCGCTGACGTACCAGCAGTGGGGCAGCGCGGAGTGGGTGTGCTGATCCGGGAAGCTCGCGGGTCCCACGGAAAAGCTGGAGGTGAGATATTTGCTCTCACTCCAAACCCGAGCTCCGGAGGGGAGGCTCGAGGGGTGGGAGAAAGGAGACCGTCCTCCCAGCGCTCGTGAGCCACTGGCGAAACGCACCGAATCTGCAAGCTAGAAAGCATAGCGTCCCAGACTGGCAGATTTCGGGCTGTCACATCTGGGGAAGTGAAAAGTGCCCTTTCATAATGTTTTCATGGCAGTAAAAAGTGCCGTTGGAAATGGGGCCCCGCCCTCCAGCGGGGAAAGAGCAAGTTCCCTCTTCTCCAGATGGCCTGTCCCAGGGGCGCTTCGCGGTCCGTTGCCGGACTTAGCGGCGTTCTGGGCAGGGGGGCTGCCTGCTTCCGAGGTGCCCGACGCGCTCGCTTCGCCTTAGGCGTGTGCGGGGGCGGAGCAGCTCTCTTAGGCGGGCGCCTTCGGCGAGGAGCAGGTATGAATGGCACGGCGGGCGGAGCGGGCTACGGACCGCCGATAAGACATCACCCACCAACTGCTCTCTCACCGCCTTGAATTCCTGGGTGAATTCACAGACAGTGTCGCCGAACCTGGCTGGGGATATGGGGAAGTCAAGAAAGCGGACTTTGTCGACTTTGCGCATATCAGCCAGGGGTGGCGCTCCTGGACCACTAATGTGGACATCGTCCTCCCCAACGCACACGCAGCGGACTCAGTAGTCCGAAGAGCTAAGTCGGCGGCGGTGCGAAGCTCGTAAGCCTGGGTTGGACCCACCCTCGTGCAGCTCGGCCAGCGCCTGCGCTTGGTAGCGCTGGTAGGTGGCTATCGCATGCAAGGCGGAAGCAGCCTGGCCCGCAGCTATGTAAGCTCTAGCTCCGAGGGAGGTAGATAACTTACAGGCTTTGGATGGGAGACGAGGCGGACCCCGCCAAGAAGAGGCGCCGCGCGGATTTACCGCCATCGCGCACTCAACCTGAGGAATCGCCACATACCCCCTGGCTGTTTCACCGTCAAGAGTGGTTAGGGTGGAGGAACACGCAGCACGAGCAGAAAAAAGTGCTTTACAAGACCGCGTGAGCCTACTGTGCACCTCCGGGAAGAAGGGAACGCCCCTCTAGTCGGTCCGGCCGCGGAGCTGGGGGATAAACCATCTCCAACCCACGGCCGAAGCAGCCCGGGAAAGCACGGCTAACATGTCCGTTTCAGGATCCGTAGTGACAGCGCTCACCAGCCCGAAGGGGGCGAGCGGGTCTGGATCATCATCGGACAATGAAAGCCCACCCTCCGATGCCGCGGTGGACATCTGGTCTCCGGTGTCATCGGGCGTAAGGGCTACCATCTGTTAGACGGATCGCTTCCTCCGCCCGAAGCTTGGATGGAGCGCTTAGAGGAGCGGGAGGTCCGCGGGCCCGTGGGCGACGGATTATCTCTCGCTGAAACCCTCAGATCTGCCCGAGTGCCCGCTGCAGAGCAGGGGACAACTGGGGTGGTTCGCCTTTTTGCAAAGGCTAACCGCGATCTTGCGCAACAGTCATGGCATCGCGATGACGACATGAACTGCCCGCGAGCAGCGCATTAACATGCTGGACCCCCAGACATGTAACACAGTGCCCGCGCCCATCATCCGAGGACAGGAAACCACCGCATCCAGAAACGCACAGTCGGAGCGCCGTCCTGATAAGGACGTGCTGCACGACTGTGTTGCTCTTTCTGTGAAGTTTGCAACTTTATACGCACCGCTCTGGAGGACCGGACCCAAAGAACGCCAGGCAAGGGAGAAACCCAGCTCGACCGTCTGCCACTGCGTGTACACACTCTGGACCGGGAGAATGCTCTCGTTCGCTCAGAATCGCTGGTCACAGCAGGAGGAACCCTCATCGACTCGATCAGAAAGTCTCTGAAGCGAAAAGGATAGCGTCTGCTGCGCCAGGTGAGCTTATATACTCAGTTGATTGCTTATGCCGCTCACCTGCGCAGGCTTGCGCTGCCAATTCATTCTTAATTGGCCCGTTCAATACTCTTTCAGACGAGTAGCTTCTGAACCGAACCTCCCAATGCGTGGATTTTACAATCAAATCCACTTATAGTGCTGAAGTTCCCCCCGAAGGGGAACACTTGTATATCTTGTAACTGAATATACAGGTATGTGTATCTCATGTACGTGGTACAACATGCCTTAATTTAATAATTCAGAAATGTGGTGCAATAAACCTCTCAGAGTTTGACATGTCCAGCTGTAAGTTTTTCCTGATTATAGTAGCCTGGGAAAGCTAAGAGCTGAAGGAATAAAGGTTGGTGTGTTTATATTCATGTGCAGGTGAAGATCTTTTGTACAATAGCTCTGAGTGTTCCAGGGTGTTGGCCAATGAGCAAGAGAGAGAGAGAGAGAGAATGTCACTGGGTAAGCATGAAAGAGGATTTGTTTGCATCAGTAAATGCAAGAACAAAACAGATTGATGGCAGAGTGACTTGAGTTAAAAAGCTTAAAGGAGATGAAAGGAGAAGCTGAAACAACACGAGTGATGACTTAGATGACGCATTTGGAGTCACAGGCAAGATGAGCGTGTCAGTGGATGACTGTGGCAATCTAGGCCTGGTCACTGATAATAGGGTCATTTGAGGTCATTTAGGGGCAGGCAGCGTCACACTGAGTGCCCTTCTTATCAGAGGTTCTCTCCGCTAGGTTGACCTCATGCCCTCTTTGCACACGACAATAGAGGCACAGACTCGGGCTAATGGAGCCTTCTTGCTGACTGGGTTCACTCAGGTCCTCGTCGCTCATCTGTTCACTCACCCTTTCTCTACCCTCTCACTCCTCTGTTTCCATTTTGACCAGATGACAGACTGAGGGCTCCGAAGCTTGGCTTGTTGCCTTGGGTTTTCTACAAGGACTGCTCCAACACAACAGAAACTTTGTTTTTGTAGTAAAACGTCTATGAACCCTGATTTTAGTTTTTATGATGTGTTGGCTTTTAAATTGACCGGAATAAGGCCCAATCTAGGGCTGTGCAATTAATCAAAATCGAATCGCAATTTTAAACGTTGCAGTTAGTTAATTGCAAGAGGCTGCAACATAAAATATATGTATATATGCAAACAATAATAACAAATAACATCAAAAGTGAAGTGCTTCAAAGCCAGTCCGCCATGCTTCAAAAAATTAAACATGCTAGACTTTCTGCGAGGCATCGCAAACATGGTATTGGTTGTCATGAACTATGCCACATTACACGAGAAGAAACGATTGAAACTTGTGTTACAATGTTCATTTGTCATTTATGACTCCCCACAACACCCTATGTCAAGGAAATCATGCCAAAATCGTGTGATCTCATTTATAACTCTTTATAACTAATCAATTGAGTGAGCACACTTTTGTTCTGCCCAATCAGAATTGCACAACTAAACTACGCCCACAATAAAAAAAAGAAAACAGGAAATTGCTAACAAGTGGGGTTATGGTATCTGCTGCTGCAGAAGCATTAATAGACACTCAAATACCCTGTCAGAAAAGTCTAATGGTTGGGAATTAGCTTTTTACAGTGCCTGGTATAATCTTGATGTTGTTTTCATGTGTCGAGATGAATGCACAGTACTGTTACGATCGTATTGCCACATTATATAGTTATGATAAGATGATATCATTGCCTTAAGTCATTTCCTAAAGATAATTACCAAAAAAAAAAAAAACACAACTGGAATAACTACAGTAGTCGCCATCGTCGATCTCATATGAAGTACGAGCTTGCGATGACATATGATTAAATGTGCAGGTGTTGCAGTGCTGTCCTATTTCTTAGAGGGAAAACTTGAATCTCTTCCTCTGCACACTCTGTTTCAAGGGCCAAAGGGAAGGGGTAGGGTAAAAAAAAAGAATTTGGATTGGGCCTGTTTGAATTTAGGGAGTGATTGACTTGAAAACAGATGTAGTGTGATTGGTGGTTTGTGAAACAATTAAACAGGTCAATCAGGTTAATCAGCTTGTTCACAAATAGGGCTCATTGTCCAATTCTCAAGTCCACGATAAAGAGAAAGATGTTTTCCTGAAATTTTGTCTTGTATTTAGCATGATAATTTGCATGAAGTGTAGTGAAGTAGAAGCTTATGATGCTACGTTTTAATCTTTGTATGGTTTTGACAGTTGTTTACTTTAGTTTATTTGCTTTGTATGTTTTTAATTTGAATCCTTCATCTACTAGCATCAAATGATTGTTTTTAGAATTGAATGAAAATGATGATTTATGCTTCAGTTCTTAAAGTTACTGGCCAACTGGTTTGAATCCTGGTTGTTTACACAAACTTGGTTCTCACTGCTTTAATTTGTTTGCCTTTTGATAAGGATGTGTAATTGAAACGTCTGTTTCTCCTTCTCTTTATAGGAAGAAGGAGTACATGTCACGGCGCATGACAGATATGGACCGCATGCTGAACGAGCGTCACCTGTTCCACGGCACGTCACAGGATGTAGTGGAGGGCATCTGCAAGCACAACTTCGACCCCCGTGTGTGCGGCAAGCACGCCACCATGTTCGGCCAAGGCAGCTACTTTGCACGCAAGGCTGTGTATTCCCACAACTTCTCCAAGCGCTCGCCTAATGGTGTGCACTACATGTTCCTGGCCAAAGTCTTGACAGGCAAGTTCACAGTGGGCAACCCTTCCATGCGTCGACCACCTCCCCTGAATCCAAGAGACGCCTCAAGCGACCTGTTTGACTCCTGCGTGGACAACTGGATGGACCCGCAGATCTTTGTCATCTTTAATGATGATCAGAGTTATCCGTACTTCATCGTTCAGTATGAAGAGGTAGGCAGTACAGTGGCTATCTGAATAGTGCTGCACCTCTGGAGACTTGCACCAAGGCCTGTGCGCATATTCGGCCAGTACGAAAAGAGACGGGAGTGGCTGTGCGCCGGCACTCTGAATGGAACTCATGGACCATACGGGATACGTTTTGAAACGGTTCCCACCCTCAGTCGTGCGCGAGGGTTTCTGTGTGACCTTTCAGTGCCCGTCTTCTCATACCCTCATTTATAAAAATGGGGATTGTGTGTATGTGTTCGCATGTATGGGTGGCGTTTTTTAGTGTGTGAATCATGTGTGTGGATGAGTGTCACTGCTGTGGCTTCCATGGCTGATTACGGACTGGAACCTGCATTAATAAAAGGCCTGTCGATTACTTGCCACTCGGACTCGAGGCTGTTGTTACAGCTTCAAACTTTTTTTTTTTTCCCACCTAATAGACTCATTGTTTCCATTGCTGCCATTCACGTTCCATAATTGCTATTTGTTGAAGTTGTAAATACCTTCTCCTTGTTTATATTTGACATGTGTGCCTTTTGTTCATAAATAAATTGTTTATTTATGTTAGTCAATGTAACAAGTAAATAAAAACATTTTAAAAAGAATCTGACTGGTGTGAAGTTGCTGTTTGTTGACATGACTTGCATTGCTTGCAGGTAAAGTTTAGTAAGTCGACCATATGATTTGAACAGTTAATAAAATTTAGGGTGCTTTCACACCTGTGAATCGATGTCCTGAAACAAGGATTAAAATGATTACATTGTTGCTCTTTGTTCTTGGTGCAGTTCGCTTTCACACGGCAAAGTTTATAAATGGAAGATGTACACAAGTCATGTGTAAGTAAACTGTCCTCACTTTGGTCAGAGTTTCATGGTTTAATTTGCCGAGTCCCGCTCAGCTGTCATGCGTCTTTATTTAAGTCATGACGATGAGCTCCCGCCCTACTCCTAATTCTGTCTTCATATAGCCATATGCTTATTACATATCCATAAAACACTTTGATATAGCCGGGCTCGTATCGCTTTCTCCAGAGTTTGTTTCAATCGAACTGAGACCACCTCATTTAGGCAATCTCGGAGCGATTGTTTTGGCGTGGATCCGAGCGACATTGCTGGATTCACATATGCCAAATGAACTGCGCTAACTGGGCAAATGAGACGTGTTCCAAAACAAAAGTCTAAGTGTGAAAGCACCCTGAATCTCTTATTCTATTCACATCTGACCTTTTTAATATTACCTAGTGGCTGTTTAACAATTGACTGTTTTTCCATCTAGATGTATCTTGAGCAGGGGTGACCAATCTCAGTCCTGGAGGGCCGGTGTCCTGGAGAGTTTAGCTCCAACTTTAATCAAATACACCTGAACCAGCTAATCAAGCTCTTACTAGATATACTAGAAACTTCTTGGCAGATGTGTTGGAGCAAGTTGAAACTAAACCAAGCAGGGCACTAGCCCTCCACGACCAAGTTTGGACCCCTAATTTGAGCATTTTATAAAGTTTAATCTCTGATTCTATTAACTTTTGACCTATTTAATAATACCTATTGACTGTTCTTTCATCTAGTTTTATCTTGAGCAGGGGTGACCAAACTCAGTCCTGTAGGGCCAGTGTCCTGGAGAGTTTAGCTGCAAACCTTAATCAAACACATCTGAACAAGCTAATCAATCTCTTATTATATACTTACTAGAAACTTACTGGCTGGTGTGTTGAAGCAAGTTGGAGCTAAAGCTAACTGGACACTGGCCCTCCAGGACTGAGTTTGGACACCCCTGATCTAGAATCAACAACATAGCATTGAAGCACATGACATTCAGAGAAAAAAAAGTCAGTGCTGGGCTAAGCTGGTCTTTTCATCAGGGAAGTGAAAGGGACTAAGCCAAACACTACTAAAATGCTTACATTTCATGAGAGGGATTACAGAACGGTTCACTCATATTGACCAACCCCGGTGTTCCCTTTTTATTACTCTTTAAGCCTATTCTCTGAATTAAAAACCTCTCTCTCGTTCTCTGGCTGTCTTAACAGACACCTTTCACTCTCTTGCCGTTCCTCTCTAGAGGACTCTGGGTTCCTAAGCTCCATGCTTAATGAATCCCAGAGTACCAGAAAGAGAAAGGCAGCGAGGGAACATCCTTCCCACCATGGAGCCAGCCACTTTAGGAAACAACAGGTCCCTCGAAGTCTCTACTGATTTGCCTGACAGCACGCCATCCAACCCCTTCTCCAACACTCTTTATTTTCAGTCTGAATTACATGTTTGCCATTGTGTCAAGTCATTTGCAATATGAATGATCCGAGTGATTAAGGTTGACTGACAGAGTGGGATAGGGCCTGACAGATGTCCAGGACTTTAAGCAAATATAGTGTCATCAGTTTACTTTACAAACAGCTCTGAAACCCACACAAAAGCCAGGTGTTTTTTGTCTGCCTGACAGCCATTGTAGAATTATCATTGGCATGTAGCCACTATCGTTTTGTCTCCTGGGGGTGGAACAGCCGAGGTTTGGGGGAAGGCAAGGGCCAGTTAATAGAGAAAACACATAGGTCTCATTTAACATTTAAGCTGGGGTTTTTTTTCAATGATAATGCTTTAAAATAATAATACTTTTCGTTTTATTCAAGTTTAATTAAAACATGTAATAGATCTACATTAATGTAAAAAAGTTAAAATATCGTCTTTGAAATCGTCATAGATCCCAACTTTGCCTATATCATCCATACACAATATCGTCTATCAGCACAACCCTAATAACAGCAATCCAGTTTGATGATGGACTTTGCTTAAGGAATTTGATCAAAACAATATTTCAGATGGTGTTCCATGTGGCCAGTCTGCTGGTTTGTTCATCAATGCTGTCCAAAATGTATGCGCATCTTGGTTTTCCATTAAGCATTTTTAATGATATATTTCCAAATGAGCATCAACATGGCTAATGATTACCAGTGTTGTGCAAGTTACTTCCAAACTGTATTACATTACAGATTACTTGTTACTGTTATTTAAAAGTAATTTCTTACCATACAATATTACTGTCTCAGAATTGTAATATGTTACATGACTCTTATATTACTTTTCAGTCACTTTCACCAAAATAACTAATTAGAACTTAGAAATAGAACTTAACATTCTAAAATGACTAAATGTCAATGACAAATTCAACATTCTTGGGATAACCAATTTAACAGGAGGATTTCTGGAGAGCAAAAGCACGAAAAGAAGAGGAAACAAATTGTGAGTCTGCTTCATCTGATGGAGCGAGAGCAGATCATTAGCCGCGTTTCCACTATCGCGCCTAAAGCGAGCGAGCCAGGGCTAGCCAAGGCCAGTCGCATTTCCACTGTCACTTCCGGGGCCTGATTGGACCACAGGGGGGCTTTCTCGGGGCCAGCGGCCGGCCTTTTTCGGCCTGCCAAATACCATGGGCCAAAGAGGGCCAGGTAGGCCTTCGGGTGGAGTGAAAGGACAGGCGGAGTTTGCCCGAGTCTGTTAAAGTTGGCATGCCGTCATTACACTAGTATTCCAATCGCACACGAGTACATGCGGCAAACAAATAAATTAATGAGGGAAAGAAAACATATAGCTGGTCAGATTAAGATATTCCATAAAACCTTATAGGATAGGGGTCCTTTTGCTTATGATCACCCTTATATTTCCCTTTTAAATGTAGGCTGTTGCATATAAAGATTTAATTTGACATTTCCTGCTGCGTCCTCCTCGATGTTTCAATAGCGCATAACCATCTTTACATCATTTTAAAGACACAGCAGCCAGTAAAGGTTGTTGAGAGTCTTTGTCGAGCTTAAAAGGCGTGTTTGTGCGTGATACGTGCGCATTGTGAGACCTGTGTGTATGTTAGGTCGGGCGAAAGAGCGCTCGCTTGACAGCTCTGTTGATGCCTCGACTGGCTTTTTTCTTTTTAAATTTATTTTGGAGATAATGCAAAATATGAATACGACAGAAAGATATAAAACTTTTACAAACGTGTCCAATTTTTGGCAGCTCAAAACAAAAGTGTCATATCTCAATAAAATAGCCTATCTGTAGTATTGAAATAATTTAAAGAATTACAAATATATATAGTAAAATCACAATAAATAAATAACCAAAGTAAAACAAACACAGGCTAGCTAGAACAATGTAGGTATATACAGTACATAAATTAAACCGTTTTAAGCCATATATAACTTTCATTTTGCAAAGGCCTATATGAAAAAAAGATTTTAGATATTTTCCAAAAACAATAAACACCAAATGAGGTTTAAAATATTATTTATAAAGTATTTGGATACGATGATATTAAACAAATCATGCAAACTGCGCAGCGCTGCTTTAAACGCATCGGGGAAAACTGCAAATACAACATGTCTTCTATATCCTCAAACAAGTGTTTATGTTTTTATATGTCGTGGTAAAATTAAAAATGAAATGTTAAATGTAGAGCTTTATTAGTGAATAGCTGCTGGGCGCAACAAATATGGTTATATATATTTTTTAGGCTACTTGCTCTTATGTGCTGAAACACTTAAAACGATGTCTATGAAAACAAGGATGTTATAAAATACACTTCATACCGAGTTACTTTCTGTGATTTTATATTATGGATGGGTGGGCTCGCTGCACTGGGTCCCTCCGCTTGTGGCGAGTTCTAACAGTTGCACAATGCCAACAGTCGGTCGGTGAGTAAACAAATATAATGAATGGAAACACAAAGGCCTGTGCGTTTATACACAGGCCTAAAAAGCCCTGGCTCGCACTGGCCCGACAGTGGAAACGCGGCTATTCTGACAAGAGCAGCCAGCTTATATTTGAAATTTCACAAGCAGTTTTGTCCATGAACAGAGGAAACCGGCGCGGAAACAAAAAGATTTGCTAGCGCATTTGATATGAATGCGCTCTTGACTTATAATATTGGGCTTACGACATTTGTCAGTGAAATAACGCCATATGCAGCGGCTGAAATCATTCTGCCTTCAAAGTAAAAAGTTCCAATAGCCTGAGGGAGTTTGATGACAACACAGACGTATATTCACTAACCACGAACAGGAAATAGAACTTACTTGCGGTATTTTTTATTTGTTAATGACTTTAGTTTGCTGTAACGCAAGCTTTACTGAACATGTACCGAGTAAAGTATTACTGAAAATGTATTAGTAATGCCTTACACTGCGTTACAGGAAAAAGTATTACGTTAATTTAATACATTACTTTTGTAACACATTACTCCCAACACTGATGATTACAAACTACAGGGATGTGACCCTGAAAAACAAGATCTTAAGACATTGGCAATCAGTTCTGATTGACTTCCTTTTTCCTTATTGCTCATTCACTTTCTGCTTGCTTCCCCTTGACCTTTCACCCCTATGGCTTATCTTGTGTTCCTAAAAGCCATGAAGAGCTTCAATCAATGGTGTGAGTCCTTGAGCTAATGACCAATTGTCAAACATTCACTGGGTCGCATGACAAAAATGATAATACATAGTAACTAGATGATTTCGAAATGATTGCAACTTCTCTACTGGTAAGAGACATATTTGTTTAAGGTGTGTCTGGAAGAGACGGGCAAAGAATGTGCGTGATTTCAGATATTCCTTTCTTATGTT